TGGGTCCTAAAATCCTTGGGCCCGCGGTCTGCTCACAACACCATGCAGATCGTTGAGTCTCACATACCCCGCGCGCCCCTTTTGCGCGGGGACCTCGTAGGAGGTTCGGCCCTCTACCCGAAAAAAAAAAAAAAAAAAAAAGACCTGTAGTATGGCAAAGGATGATGGAGGCTGGAGCTCTTTACCTTGACCTGCAGAGGATCAGGGTGCAAGACCAGTCCCCACTCATCTAATGCACAAAATGCTTAGCCTTCGGTCACGGCCGAAAATTTGCACTGAAAGTGCGGACAGATGCAGCCACTGCGGCGGACCGCATCTGCGCGAAAAATGCGTAGACTATATCGCGGGAAACGAACCGCAGTGCTGCAACTGCTCGCACTCAAAGCTGCAGAGAACAGACCACAACGCCTTCAGCGCAGAGTGCCCAGTTCGGCAGAAATGGGACTATCTGGCCCGCGCTAACACAGCATATTACTAACTCACTCCAAGACGGGCACGTAACATACACAGTAACACACACAAACATGACATGCACAAACCGGGAGTACAAAAAACAGGAACACTGGTAAAACGAACTAAGTGACGGAAACCGGAAAACAAAAAACAAATAAACACAGATATAGTAAATATATATATGACTATATCAATAACACACACTCAGACACACAGACAAACTCCAAAATCGTGCCCTAGCAAACAATTAAAAACATAATAAATTATAGGAAAATGCTAAAGAAAAGTCAATAAATATAGATATAGTTACGCCGGTAAGAGTAACGCCATCTATCGCCGAATAGTCGAATGAATACCGAAGGATCTAGTAGTACCCAGAATGCTCGAGAATTACAACGCCATCTATTGTCAGATATCGGAAACTGCTACTAGAGAGGTGTGGAATATTCTCGATAATTCTAGGAATGAGGTATCGGCTATAAAAGCGTTGTAGGGATGGCACGCTGTCAGTCAGTAATCGGAACTACTCGAAGGGAAACAGCGAACGGATCACCTGAAGCGAAGCGGAAGAAGCGAATTGAGAGTTTTAAAGTGTTTGTTGAGTGTTTTGAGTGTTCTAATCTAAATGTTGAATACAGCTTTTAGTTGTACTTTGGTGAAATTTTATTTATCCCGAACCCTCAGCGCGTAACAATATAATATGTATATTTATATATTATTGTCATAAATTAAATAGTTAATAATAAAGTAAGATAGAAAATAAGTGAGTAAGAAAATTTGTGTAAATGGGTTACTTTGTAGTAAAATGTACCCAAAACTACTGGCAAACAATGTTCACAGATAAACAGCTTGTTGTAATATAGATATGGGCAAAAATAGAAATAACAAAGTATGATAAGGTAGAATCTAAACTAGTATTAAGAATAAAAATGTAAATAGATAATAAGTATAGAATAAAAAATACAAAATGTTAGAACTTAAGAGAGCACTGAATAAAGTAAACAAAATTAGAACATTTATAATATAAAGAATAAAAATGTGAATAGTTATTAAGTATGTATAAAATAAGAAATATAAATTGTTAGAATTTAAGAGAACAGTGAATAAAGTAATGTGAAGATATCCCAAAAATGTCCTGGTATAAACAGTCAAACTGCCAATTTAAATAAGACAATAACCCTGAAAATTTTATTCCCCCGATTAAATAAAGAATTATAGGTAAAAGTAGTCAAAAGTAGCGGGAGTAATTTCCCGGACAGAAAGAAAGATGATGGATGAACGTGTAATATGAATATTGAAAGTACGCGAGGCATAAAAGCGAGAACTAGTATGAACGAAAAAACAGAATAATAACATCCCGTTGAATCTACGAACGGGGAAAGGCAGAAAAAAAAACCCAAAACTAACCTAACCTAACCTAAACCTAAATAGTAACCAGAGCTCATAAACATCTACACCGTAAATGCTGACACCCACCTCTAGACATTAGTTGTAAAGTCTCAGTTTAGCAGTACAACGACTGCTTCCCACCCTTCAAACCGAAACGCATTACTCACGGCAAAATAGCCAAGGTGGTGGTACCTCACCGTACGGACATATAAGACGTCCTACCACCAGTAATTACGCACACTACGATTTAGCGGTTTTGATTTTTATTACACAATGTTATTCTTTCACCGTGGGCGGCCATCATGAACAATTGCTAAGTACGTATTTTATTTGAAAAAATAGGTCATTGCCGTGGGATTCGAATACCGTTGCATCGCTCGACACGAATGCACCGGGCGTCTTATCATTTAGGCCATGACGACTTCACGTTATGTAGGTCATGAACAAAATGTAGATGTAGTTTCTTGGTTACTCAGATTCAGATTTTGACAAAGTAGATTAATTCGCAAGCTGCCCGGAGACGGCTTGGACATTTCGGGGCTCAACAAACAGCTATCGCTATAACTTATTGCAAGAGAATCGTTAGAGCACTAAGTAGATAATATCTTTGACTGCACTATAACTAAGTTATATGGCGTGCATTATTTACTTGTACATACAATTGAATGTGCAGTGACACAATGTCGCTTAACTAGCTTAGAGCTTCTCTGTACTCAGGATCGGCTTACACTCGGCACCTCCACTTGGACAGAGCATCAGGCGTAATCAGTGCTACTTACTGTCAGTTCATGGATTGTGCAACTCGTTGGGAAGCGGAGAGGTGTTACTGTAGGTGTGTGTCGACGAACAAAATAAAACAACTAGCAACAAGGTAATACAATGCTCTAATTAATACAATGAATACTTAAAGTGGTTTATGGTGTGGTCTGCTGCAGAAACATAGCAAGTATAGATATCTTAAATAAATAATATTTTTAATACAAATTTGGACATTTTAGTCGTCATTTAGTTTAGCACAATGCCATCTAGTGGGATCTAAACGTAACTACCATGTTACTGATCTAGCCGACAGATGGCGTTATTTACATGTAAGTTTATACATTTTGTTTAGTTTCTATCCGTGCACTTTTGCAGGTCACCCGACTCGTCATTCGTTTCGGAAACTTATTTGGTAAATGATCAATGACTAGTCTTGCTCGTGGCGCGCCAACCGGACCCTCGTGCAGCTGCTGTCCGCACGGTGTACAGTGTACGTACTCACGTCACGGACATAGCTTGTGTTCACGGTGACGATGTGTTTACGTTCCCCAGTAAGCCACACGTGGACACATTGTCACCGTCAAGTTATGTTCGTGAGTACCGTGGCAGTGCTCTGGATGACGGATACATCACACTTCTGAACAAATACTCCGGATGCTCTGAGCGTCCGAGCGGAGGGAAGAACATTAACAAGAACAGGAGTCGACTAGTCTCCAGAAGTGATTCGTTCGTTCCTTTTTGACTTTCTGTGATGATAGCAAATGATAGAGATAGATCCGAGGGGCCATTTTAGTTAGTTTAGTTAGTTTATAGTATGTAGTAGGATTAGATTTCTTCAGTAGGAAATATTTATCGTTACGGCGACGTCGCAAGCTCAAGATGACGCCCATAATTTTAAATGTATTGAAGTAGTAAGTACACTAAAAAAAAGATAAATAAATTATTTGACACTCAAACGACGCACACTATGATATCTATTATTAATCGAACAGAAAGTAAATAGTTGTAAGTACAGTTCAGGCGCACCCCGGGGACTGTCCTCCCGGAGGCCCACACACACACTAGTGTGGCGGGACCGTCGCTACGTCAGCAAGAGGACCAGCAGTACTATAAGGAAGCCGATCGCCAGACACAGCAACAGACTCATCTTTTTCTGGAACATTCAAACCATTTCATTTGGTCGTATACCGTTGGAGTAATAAACAAGCAAGAGAAAGGTGAGCGGACCTTTCTGGCCTTGGTCCTGGTGACGGTGCCCTTGAGGAGTTGCTGGCCGCCGCACTCGACGTGCTCGGTGGCCTGCAGCGCGTAGTACTCGACGCTATCGATCTGGTCCTGCTGCGCCGCCACGAGCGCGGCCAGCTGCTGGAACAGCTCGCGCACCTCCCGCAGCGCCGCCTCGACCCGCGCCAGCTCCTCGCGCCGCGCCTCCACTGCGCGCAGCTCCAGCCGCGCCGCCGCCGTCTCCGCGCGCACCTGCACCACACCGCGTCACGCGTCACACGCGCCCTCACCCGCGTCACCCGCGCCCTCACACTACACTAGGAGGTGCACTCACATTGTCGACAAACAGCGAGATGTTGTTCGAGTCCAGCAAGCTCTGACACTCCTCGTCGGATATCGCGAGGTTGGCTGTGAAGAGAACACGTCACAGTTACTCGGCTCGGCGCTGACTCACCGGTGATAATGAGTCCCGTGGAGCGGGTCGGTGCCCTCTCTCCGCGGGCGCGTCACTCTTTACAGCTAACTGACGCTGCAGGTCGAGAGACTTAGCCTACTGCGAGGCGCCTAGTTCAACGGTCGCGGTGTGAGACTCATCATGGCCGACTTGATTCCGGTTTGTTTTTGTCGTTAATTGTCGGTGAGCGCGGTCATGCACTCGACTTTATTGTAAGAGACACAAAAGAAAACATCATTACTGAAAATAAACTATTATATGAAACAATAAAATACCGATTGCATTAAATATATTAACCACAATGCAAATAGTAATGCTTTATATTCTTTGTAATATCATCTAACTTCACGGGGATGTTTAAATTATTGGCAAATATTATATTTTATTTCTATGCTTGTCCTGCATTTCTGTTTTGTTTTTTTAAATTAGTTTATCGTTGATTAAAAACTAATGAAACCTCTTAATTATGTTGATATACAGCAATAGACAATAGACTTAGGCTATGGAGCTAGCCAAGGAATGTACATTGAGTAAAAAAATTAAATGATATTTTAAAAAACAATGTCCTATTTTAAAATCTACTTATGCATTGTGTTAATATTTACTGGAGTACCTACTCATTTGAGAATTATTTCAACTGTCATAATTTTGATGTGTGGCCTTGCGGAATTTGAAGTGTTCTGATGATGACGTCACAAGGGGCATCACAACATGAGGAACCGTTGCCGCAAATATTTTAACCAGACATGTGACATGGTACTACTCCTTCCATCCTTCTAGCAATATCGGGAACATTCCCGTTCATATAATGTATACACCGCAATCATAGACAAGACGATAACTCATAAAACCAATCAAGCTTAAAGTGTTGTTGTTAGCGGTTTGAGGTCAACAGGCTCATAATAAAACTGACATCTGAGTCGAACACAGAGTATGTACATGAAAAAGAAGGCTAAAGTATCTGTTTCAATAAATGCAATGAAGATATACCTATGTAGAAAAGAAACAAAGGTCATATTGAATTCATAAAAGATTTGTACTTAAAGATTGCGTTTCATTGACACTTTGGATTCTGTAATCAGCTGGCCAATTCCTTAAATTTATTTACAAAGAAAAAAAGAAAGAAAAAACAAAATAAGTTCAATGCCCATAAGATGTTGATGCACACACTCGACAGACATTGGGCTCGGTCGGCGGTCGCGTGCAGGGGCGGCGGCAGGCTGCTCACACTCGAGTCTCGACTGCGGTGGATCCTGTCTGGAACCTAACCGAGGCAGCTGCGTCCGGCCACCGACCGGCGCACTACGCAGGAGGGCGACTACTACTCCTAACTAACTGTTCCAATCGATACATACAATCGGGATACAAGAATTCTAAAGGCCCCTTTCTGACCGCACTCTTACAGAAACAACCAGTACTGAAAAATCTGACACAGAGGTGGGAGCGGCCTTCCACGCAGTACTCCATTGTCTTCAAAGGAGACCTGCCCTACAAGTTACACTGTTACTTGTAATATTAGTAGATGAGCGAGCGGCTCATTCAGTTGCCAGGCGAGTCCTACGAGCGGTTAAGGCATTAGGGCTTGTTAACTCGTAATGTTGCAGCGGCCCGGTGTACACCTGTCTGCATACTTGATGTTGGGTGTGCAGTGTTGCAGCAGCGCTGTACAGTATAGAGAGCGTCCTTACTCAACTTGATCTGTTGGTGCAGCAGCAGTAGCTGGTGGTCGCGCACGGCGTCCAGGGCCCGGCGGTGCTGGTCCAGAGCGTCGCCGTACAGACGCCGCGTCGCCGCGTACTGCAGCCGCGCGATCCTCCACAGCGTGCCGCCCCCGCCCGCGCCCCCGCCCGCGCCCCCGCCCGCCACGCGCGTCTCGAACTGTCTCAGCGCGCCGCACACCTTGAGTCCCAGCGCGTTCGACTGCGTCACCGCGCGGTCCAGCTGCTCCTGGAGCTCTGTGCGGTCCGTGCGGTCCGTGCGGTTACACTATGCTTATGCTTTCTAATTGAAGTGCAAGCAATTCGGGCTGGGTTGAGTAATTCACTACTGTCAAGTGCTTTATTTATTTATTAATTAAACGGATGAACGAGCTCGCGGGTCACTTGATGTTAAGTGGTTACCAGAGCCCATAGACATTAACAACGTAAATGCCTTCCATCCAACTTGAGACGTGAGTTTTAAGTCTCCGTTTTTACACTACAACCGACACGCATTATTGTTTGATGGCAGAACTAGGCAGGATGGCGGTACCTACCCGCGCGCACTCACAGCGCGTCCCAGTAAATGTTAGGCAGTTACTGAAGCCCACAGACATCACAAAGTATCAGCCTATTAGAGACATGAGATCAAAGCTCCAATTATTTTGTATCACGGCCCAGCTGCCCCTCAAAACGTAGGGCGTGACTGAGTTCGCGGCAGGGACGGTGCGTGCCGCGCGGACTCGCATTGGGCCCGGCCAGTGGCCGACCGGTGCCCGCGGACGTTATCACGGGATGCTCTTCCTTTAGCGTGGACGTCGTGCGGGTCGTGCGAGTACGTATCGTCTCGCGTTGTACTGTAGAGTAGTGTAGAGAGGGGCCGGCGGACGGGCGACGTACGTCTGTTGGTGTGGTAGGTGGGGTCGGAGTACAGGCGGCGCACGAGCTGCGTGTTGTCGTCGAGGTCCCGGATCCAGCCGCGCATGCGCTCCACCTGCAACCCGATGAGTTTCCTTACGATTTACCGAGACCGGATCTAAGATAACGTCAAGTACCTACGCTCTTTGTACAAGTCACTTAATTATGATCCTACTTGTAATTTGAACTAATCAAACTTTCGGATAGTACAAGGCCAGTGTTGATATTTGTTTGTTTAGCATGAACAAACACATAAATATACCTCATCTGATTGCAATTCCGACGCAGCCAACGATAAAGTTCTCTAAACAAGACTCGCTAACATAAACTTGAAAACTTCATATTAAATTAAATACAAAACCCTTATTCTGTTTTCATTGTAGTTTGTACAAGAAGCTGCTCGCGGTTGCTCCAGCATCGAATTTGTAATTGAGAAAGAATGAAATGCGTTTGACTCAGTCGGGATCAAGAGCCGGTGTTTCCATTCTTTCTGGATTACAAATTGTGCTGGCTTTACACACAATTGCGCTTGTGTGTGAAGCTGCGGGGCGCGTCTACTATCCGCGCATACACCTCTGGTATACCTAAGTGCAGAGTGTCGGCACGTGTTGTCGCGTGTTGTCGCGTGTTGTCGCGTGTTGTCGCGTGCCGGCGCCTATCCACTGATCGCACAGGCTCAACTTGTTAGAGTACTTTGTGCCCGCTAATTAACTACTCCAGCTAATTATGCTGATTTGTCGAGTGATCACACACACACATACACATGCAAACACACATACTCAACTCGTAAATACCTTTCGTCAGTTTTTGTGCTGACTTTGAAGTTTTGATCACATTTTATTTGTAGTTTGACATTCAAAACCTTCCCAAGTGGACATTTTAAAGTAGGCCATCGAGTAATTAAAGTATTACTCGTATATATTATTATGTATAAATATGAAGTAAGTCAAGCGTATATAAGTACTCTTATATGTATATGTATGTACATAAGGCGTCATGAGGTGGTGTGTCGCGCGCGCGTGCGTGTGCGTGCCACACTAATGAGGATGTGTCCGGCGCGCTGCTCTTACTGTTCATTACGATTGTGACTTTGTGACCTAATTCTACATATTTGTTAGACTCGCGTGAATTAATCTGTTCACTTGCATTTAGCGAATAGAATGTAGGTACTATACCAAACAAAGAAAGGGCCACATGCCGGTGCTAGTGCTGACAGACAGACGTACCTCTTGGAACATGGTGTGGATTTTGTCGTCAGAGGCATCGTGCGGGTCCAGCTGCACCGTGTCGGCGTACACTCCGGCGGCGCCCGCGGACACCTGCACACACCGACACACACAGAGTACCGACACGTGTGAGCGACACGTCCACGTGAACCAGCAGCGGGTCGGCTCCGGGTCCCGGCGCACGGCTGCACACTCATCCACCGACCGACCGGCCGACCAGTGCCGCGCCCTAGACGCGACGTATCGTCGCTCGTGGACCTCAGCAATCTCAGGGGCGCAGTCACACACATGTGCCTACCGCTTTACCTTTTTTTTTTATCGTTTAGATTATTGGACGAGCTCACTGTCCACCTGATGTTGAGTGGTTATCGGAGCCTATAGACATTAACAATGTAAATGCCGCCACCCACTTCGAGACGTAAGTTCTAAGGTCTCTGTTTTACAGTACAACGGCCACTCCACCCTTGAAACCAAAACGCATTACTGCTTCACGGCAAAAATAGGCAGGGCGGTGGTACCTACCCGTGCGGACTCACGAGAGGTCGTAATTACGCAAGTTATAATTTTGCGGGTTTGATTTCATTACACGATATTATCCCTTCACTGTGGAAGTCAATCGTGAACATTTGGTAAGTACGTATTTCATTAGAAAAATTGATAAATGCCTGCGGGAATCTAACACTAGTGTGCATCGCTTGATATGATTGATACGAATACACCGGAAGTATTATCCTTTAGGCCACGACGACTTCTAAATATATGAAAACAATATAATATGTATATATGTATGTATAGGCTTGGCTGTGCTACAAGAATTGCTGATGTCCATTAGCGACGACCTCTTATCATCGAGTGGGTTATAGGCTCGTATGACTAATGGAGAAAAACAAAACAATTACGAAAACACCTCAAAGACGATTTCAGTCTTGAGTCTCGAAGTCTCGAGCCGAATGGTTTCGATCAATTCACTGAGGACAAACAAAGTTGTACATACAAGCCGCTGAGTTTAAACTGTACTCCGCCTCTCCGGTGGCGGGCGGTGAGAGGGAGTTGGTGGGAGGGAGATGACAAGTTTGTATCAAACAAATAATCAGACTGAACGAAGTTCCGACGCTGACTCAACTTCTCTAAAATCCTTATTGATTCGCGAACACAACGTCACTGAATATTTTGACAGCAATAGCACGATCTAAGTCGCAGCGACGCGACGTTGGCCACGCGTGTCTGAAGCCCGCTTCAACAGTCAGTCACCGCGGCGGTGGATACTCATGTTCTAACGTTGATGCGATTGGGAAGCGGGTCCCGGCGGTGAGCCTCGACACTCCAACCCACTCGCTCCTCAAGCGGTTTGTGATCTAATCAAATGAGTAGTTTGATATGAATTGTGCACAGATTCTTTAGCGGGAATGGTTTTCATAGAACAATGAACGTGTTCGATAATTTAGCAAGCGGAGTGTATTGAACCCGTGTCGCGGCTCGCCTGTGTGCTCAACCTACATACTCAGTGTTTGTTCAGCTCTTAGCAGGTGTCGGCCGCGGCTGATAGCTGCGGAGGTTAGACGCGGTCTACACTATCTCGCATCGGCGCGCGGCGGCTTGATAACAGCGACCCTCGCTACACGTAGGCACAGCTGGCTCACTGTCACACACAGTCGAGGCGGGCTGCTGTCCCGGGGCACGTCCCGGCGGCGAGCGGGCCGTACTTACGTGCTGGAGCTCGGCGAGTCGGTCCCGGACGGCCATGTCGTCGCGTTGTGGCGGCGCGTGCACCGGCGGCTCCGTGCCGGTCGGTACTGCGATGCACTGATAACGCGCGCCGCTCTCTTGTCTGATATTAGCTGATATTGGACTGATACTCGGACGCGGGGTTGCCAGACCGACTACTCGTTACCTACGCACTCACTACTTTGTTTCTAACTGACTTCAAGAGGAGCCTCTCGATTCGAAGCGTATGTTTTGTTTATGTTGATTCTTCTTTTGATCGATGGAGTTTGACTGTAAGATGCCCCGTTTTGTTTAGTATGGATCTCGTGAGTATTTGTGACCTAAACTTGTACAAGTATTGTCGCGACAAAGGAAGCATCGACACCGATGCGCAATTAGATTCGGAATTCGAAGAGCGTCAAAGACGTTCGTTTTACAAATAGTGTTGCGTGATTTTGATATATTATTATAAAGCATACCTACTCTAACTCAGTGGACTCTACCACTACTGTTAAGTTATTTCTTTCCTGTCTAAGCTGATAGCCTTGAAAAGCTATTTCACCGTAACCTTAACTAGTAGGTGAGCTCACGCGCTCAAACTGGAGCGTTGCTAACACTGNCATAAGATACGAAATTCATTCGGGTGTTTGTCTGTGCGCCTGTACAACAAAATCCCACAAGATGTTCAGAACCTACATATACATAGGTTTAAGAAAACTGTTAAAGAACATCTGTGCAATAAAGCTTACTATAAAGTCAATGATTATCTAGAAGATTGCACAAAGTGGGAATGAGTTGCTCGCTCCAGGCATTTCAATATTGTAAAATTGTTATGTAAAATTACTTATTGTAAAAATGAATATTTAAAAAAATGTAATATTACAAAAAATAAAAAAAATCATATTTAAAAAAAAAAAGACATGCCCGCTGAGTTTCTTGCCAATTCTTCTCAGGACGGAGGCTAGTTCTTGTGAATTGGCGGTAGTTCTTTTGACGTTCAACAAGTATGTTGAAAGTACATTTATGTTGAATAAAAATTTTTTTGATTTGATTTGGTTTCTACCACCGGGTCGGAATCGCGACACACTGAGAAGATCCGGCGAGAAACTCAGTGGGCTGTGTCTATGGGTTAATTCGCTCGTCGAGCCCTTCGTCGCAAACGACGGGTTCGACGAGGACGGTGACTGGGTATTAAATACTACTAATATTAACTTATAAATTTTATGAAAACTCAAAATAAAGGGCGTTACACGTCTGCCTCCAGAAAATATAATCAAGAAGATCTGTGTAATGTAGGGTGACTAGTCCAAAGCCAGGGTCTGTCAGCCTGAGCGGATCTGCAAGTCTTTTCCTGACAGAGACACACGCCGCATTAGGCTATTTATTTATTTATTTATTTGGGAAACAAACAGTACAATACAAACATATAATATTTAAACCATGTGGAAGGTCTGTTTAGAACGCGCGGAAATACAACTACATTTAAATGAAATTTTGGAAAGAAGATAGCTAGAATCAATCTCATTATTTATTATTTTATATAAAAACATTTGATCCCTCAGTAGCCTGCGATCGACTAGAGAGACAAATTCTGTCGGTTCTGGAGAGTTAAAGCGACGACAATGGTATAAAAGATGCTTAAAAAATTTTTTTTTTACTCTTTCTAGTCGTTGAATATAAATATTATATTGGGGATTCCATGTGACGGAGCCATATTCCAATATAGACCGTACAAAACTGTTGTACAACAGAATCAAAGTAGATGGTCTTTTAAAGTCTTTACCAACTCTAAGTATGAAGCCTAACATTCGAAAAGCCTTATTTACTATTTCATTAGCATGAAAATCAAAAATCAAACTGGAATCCAAATAAATACCCAAATCACGAACAACTGTGGTGCGTACCAAAGTTTGACCATTAATAGAATAGTCATACAAGATATTCGATCTTCCACGTGAGAATGTTAAAATAGTACACTTGTTAGTATTCACTGTAAGTTATTTTGACAGTAAACAAATAAGTTGTTCAAATCATCCTGTAATTCCAAACAGTCATTTAAGGACTTTATAACTTTACTAGGTGACCCGGCGAACTTTGTTCCGCCTTAGAGGCAGTAAATGAGCAGACTTGATTTTGTCAAGGTCAATTATTTATTTTGATAATTAATGTAAATTAAAAAAGCAAGTATTTTAATGATACTATATTGGCCATGTATTGTAGTTGTTATTATTATTATATTTTTATTTCTTGTTCTTCTTCAGTTCTTTCGCTCGCAAAGTTTCGAATCCTAGTTGCTTTACGGTTTCGTCGGGAAAGATTTGATCGTGTTGGTCGCGGCATGGCTTTCTTAATGATTACCTATCTCGGCACAATAAGCTTAATTGAAACTCGAAATAAACACATCAACCGATCAACTTCAAAATTCTACTATAATTAACCATAAACTACATTACGTTTAGCTGTCAGTTGCGTTTTGTTATTCCATATCTGTTGCGTTTTGTTATACCACATTTTATGTCACATCCCACAGAAACGTGATAAAAAGTATCCTATGTCCTTCTCCTGATCCTAAGCTACCTCCCCACCAATTTTCAGCCAAATCAGTTCAGCTGTTCTTGAGTTATAAATAGTGTAACTAACACGACTTTCTTTTATATACTTTTTTGTCATCGGCTTACATAATGAATTTAGATTTTTTGAAAATATTTGAAACGTCATTGACATATATATTAAATAACATAGGACCGAGATGAGAGCCCTGAGGAACTCCCGAGGGAACAGGTGCAAATGAAGAACAAAAACCATTGAAAGTCACAGCCTGACTGCGCAGCAAATCACCGTGGACCCCAAGTCCATGCAATTTCTCAATCAAAATGTCAAAATTTATTCGATCGAACGCTTTGGAATAATCCGCGTACACCACATCAACCTGATGACCATCCTCCATGGAGTTCAATACATAATCCAAAAACTCACAGAGGTTTGTCTCAGTAGATTTATGGCTTATAAAACCATGTTGTTGCTCTATAATATGAGGCCTAATCAATGGAAATAAAAAATCATAAACTATACGTTCAAACATCTTAGGGATGGCACAAATTTTAGAAATTGGTCTGTAGTTAGCTATGTTATGTTTATCACCGCTCTTAAAGACTGGCACCACGAACGACCGCTTCCAAATACGGGGCATAACACCNACAGAGGTTTGTCTCAGTAGATCTATGGCTTATAAAACCATGTTGTTGCTCTATAATATGAGGCCTAATCAATGGAAATAAAAAATCATAAACTATACGTTCAAACATCTTAGGGATGGCACAAATTTTAGAAATTGGTCTGTAGTTAGCTATGTTATGTTTATCACCGCTCTTAAAGACTGGCACCACGAACGACCGCTTCCAAATAGGGGGCATAACACCAGTTGATAATGAGAGATTAAAAAGAAGATGCAAAGGGTAACACAGCTGAGCGTAACATTGTCGCAAAAAAACAGGCGGAATACCATCCGGACCATCACCCTTGGAAATATCAAGATTTTTCAAATATTGTTTGACTTTTCCCACCGAAATAAAAAATTAAGAAATATCTACACAGTTAAGATCGTAAGAGGCAGGGGTATAACTTAACGATGATGCTGACTGTGTATTGTTAGTTAAAAAGGCAGAACCAGAATGAACATTAAATAAATTACATATTTCAGAACCATCAAATGAGCACCTATCATTTAAGAACAATTCGTTAGGAAAATCCCCAGCACTCCTCTTGGATTTAACAAATCTCCAAAATTGCTTACTGCACTTCAAGATATCATCCTCACATTTTGTTATGTGTGCATTGTAACAGTAAATTTTTAAGGTTTTTTGTCTTTCACAAAGAACAGAAAAACTTGAATAGTCGGCCAATCGCCCATAACATTTCCATTTCCCGTGAAATTTTCTTTTTTCTTTAATCAACTTGATTAAAGCAGAGGAGTACCAGTAAGGGAAATTGGAGTTACCTCTTACGACCTTCACAGGCACATTATCAGAAATAAGTTTGTCAAAGATTTCATGAAACTTGCCCACGGCCATGTCGACATCTAAATTCATAAAAGAGAAGAGAACTATTGCTTAGGGGGGTGAACGAGCTCGTTGCCCGCCTGGCCTGAAGTGGTCACCGATGTCCGCACATGTCATAACGTGGGGCCGAAGTATTCTAGTCGCAGTAAGGTATGAGTCCTAATGAATACCCAACGAGACAATATCTTGAAAAGGTAGGTGCACAACTTGCCTCTCGCAACCCGCCCTGACAGCAGGTACCTACTGTTACGATGAGGAAAAAAAACCATTTTCTCATATCGAATAAAAGGATTTAGAATATCCAGAGACGTCGAGCTTCCGCTCTCATTTCAAGAAGATCGTCTCCTGAGTGGTCCCGGGGGCTGGTTACCTGAGCCGGCTTCTGTCGCACTCCGTGGCGACCAGCCCCTAGGTGGGGCTGCTGCCGTCCAAGAAACTTGACTCAACTTCTCTAAAATCCTTATTGATTCGAGGACACAACGTCACTGAATACTTTGACAGCAATAGCACGATCTAAGTCGCAGCGACGCGACGTTGGCCACGCGTGTCTGAAGCCCGCTTCAACAGTCAGCCACCGCACCATCATCTTGTATGGTGTTGCGTCCTGACTCATAAGAATGTCGCTGCAATGGTCAAGGCGGTTTGAAAGGCTGGCTACTCTGACTCTGCCCTGGGAGCTAGAGGTGGGGACAGTTGTTATTTAAATTATATAAAAAGAAGAAGAAAAAAAATCGATTTTAAATTTCTTATCTTGGTTTTAGCTTCACAATACACAGCGATCGATCGTGTATATAATACACACGCATCTAACAGTAAACAGTCCCCACGGCCCAATGCCGGGGCAGAAGGGTGAAGGGGCCGGTGGCGAGGCCTAGGGGCGCGGGGGTGTGCGAGTTACTTACAGAATAGACATTCAACCTTTATTAGTGTGATTGAAGTGTCCTTCATGGACTCATCATAATAATATCATTAACGTTAGTTGCTACAATATTACATACTCAAACTCAATATCTATACTTTTATACATAATAATATTATAAAGCTGAAGAGTTTGTTTGTTTGAACGCGCTAATCTCAGGAACGACTGGTCCAATCTGAAAAATTATTTCAGTATTATATAGTCCATTTATTGAGGAAGGCTATAGGCTATATAACATCAGGGTAAGACCAATACAAGTGGAGCACCAATAAAGAAAGTTTCAAAATAGGGATTTAAATAGCTCCTTAAAATTCTATAATTCTAAAATATCTTCACTTTTTACGTAAATGAAATAGGGGGTAAAATTTAGCGCTATGCCAAAGTAACTATTCCACACGGTCGGAGTCGCGGGCAAAAGCTAGTTATTGTATAGGTAATGAAAGTTCACTTGTAATATTTAGTAATGATGTTTGTATAATTTATAGCTTTAATAACGGACCGTAAAGAGATCAGTGTTGCTGCCGATGCGGCGGCGAACAGTCTCTCTCTCTCTCTCTCTCTCTTTCTTTCTCTCTCTTGTTCGTAGCTCCTAACGATGACTCGATTTGAATTTTCTCAAAGAACTAAAACTAAATCAGTTTCAAAAACATTAAACATTTTATTTAACTGTATTTATGTTTTGACCTGTATGGACTTTGGCTTCAGTCTGGGAGTGTACAAGAGGATGAAGGTGTTGGAAAACATAAGCCTTGTACTAAGGGTCATGGTTGCCATCATGTGCGCCGCGATGGTGATGAAGCAAGACATCCTGGACTCGGCCTGGGCCGATATAACGCTCACCGAGAGCCTGCTAGTCATTGTGAGCTTCAAACTGTCCAAGCCCAAGCTCAGCTACCGAGAATTGCTAGAGAACTTGTCAATCGTGGACGAAACCCAAGGCGCTCCTCCAGCAGGCTATAAGGTTGAAAGAAAGCTGATCACGTACATAGCGGGTGTGACCGCGCTGAGACTCACCGTGCTCTGTTTGTATTGCGTCGCACACACCGAACAATATTCTATCGACAACTTCATTGAGTTCCTGTACAATGTTCCCTGCTACTGTCTCGACCTTTACTTGATCGTGCACTTCATCATCTTCCACTCAATTTACTGTCGACTCAGAACCCTGAGGAAGGCGTTGAGTAACAACTTCGACGTGTACCGAGCTCATTTAATTTACAAGACCCTGATAGATTGCACAGAGGAGATCAAAAAATGCTTGGACATCCCGGTGAGTCGATCTGATCGACACAGGCACAGTCTTCATAAGCCGATGGGAACTTTCTTAAAGAGTTATCGAACACCCCGCGTTATGTTTCAGCTTGTGGTGATCCTAATCGCGACGATCCTTGTCGTGATGGTCAACGTTTTGGTGACTCTGAGGATGCTGTTCAAAGGAGAGGTAACTCAGCGTGGCTCTGTGCACGTCCAAGTAGTGCTCCCGGAGAACTTACCTCTGAGTTATTTTAATATTGTTCATTGTATTTCCTTGCAGAGTATAATATCTGCATTCTTGCTGCGCTACATCGAGGTGATCCTGTCTCTGGCGCTTCTGTTTGTGCCGGTGCTGGTGGCGGACATGATGGCACTCGAGGCCCACAAAATACATATCTTTCTTCACGGCAGAATGCAAACAGCTAACGATTTGGGTAATTAGCTAAGTACATTTTATGTACTTCTTTATCACTGTACTTCAGCTAGATTTTAGGTGAATTTTGTAATTGTGATAGGAAACAGTGTTCAGCAGAAGTTCGTTGTTCGGGGGTTGTTAATTAGAGTTTTCATTATTCGCGGATGCAAACAGTAAAGTCCGCGTTCGCTATGATAATGTTGATTCTGTAGCGAGTGCCCACTCCAATCTCCTTCATTATTGAATTAAAGGTAGTGTTTTCACATTCACTCACTCAAAACTAAAATAAGAAATGTTCCACTGTTTCCACCTCGGTGAGTCGTTTGCATCCGTATAAAGCTTTATTTAAATTAATGAGTGACCTGTACTATTCGTCAAAAATCTCGAAGACAAAATAAGGGATTGAGTAGCTTCCACACATTTTTTTCTTCAATCTCATTTAATTCTTGCAGGCACCAACTTCTTGTGAATAATTTACTGTGGATAATGTACATAAATGTAGTAGTACAAGTACATATATGTATATATTATATGGAACTTTTTAGTAAAAGTCATTTAATTCTCATTAAATTCTTCATTTAATTCTTGCAGGCACCAACTTCTTGTGAATAATTTACTGTGGATAATGTACATAAATGTAGTAGTACAAGTACATATATGTATGTATTATATGGAACTTTTTAGTAAAAGTCGATTGTTTTTTTGTCTTGGACATTGATCAATACTCATATAAAAAAAAACATATTGAGGAATTCTATATAAGTCCCATAGTTCTCAAGATTATCAATTAGAAATAGGTTTGGGTATATTATTGAAATGCTTTCCATGGCACTAGAGGAATCGATGAAAATCGTCTAAAATCTATAGCTTCATACTATAAATTTGTTTATCTTCCATATCCGTCACGACACGGAAAAAGCAAAGTAGCGGTAGAAACTCGCCAATACACCTGCTGAACAAAAAAAATCTGGATTAATTGATAACCTTTTGGAAGTCGGTTAAAAAATAGGGCTATTTCTGACTACAATACGAGCGAAACTCTGGGTAAAACTATAATTAACTCTCCATAAGCCTCGTTTGAAGAAGGACATGTCATAGCGCTCGGGAAACACCGTGGAGGGGAGCTCATTCCATAGCCGGATGGTGCGTGGCAAAAAAGATCTCTGGAAGCGCACTGTGGATGACCGCAGTGGCTCCAGGTAGAATGGATGAACTCTACTCCGGTGGCGAGCGGTGCGGTGGTAAAAACGAGATGCCGGTATCATCTCGAATAATTCCTCAGAGCACTCCCCATGGAACATACGGTACAAAATACAATAATAATTCAGTAATTTCAGCGTAACCTTAACTAGTTGGTGAGCTCACGGGGCTCAAACCTGACGTCGTTGCTAACATTAACCCTAGCTAGAGCGGTGCTTCGCAGAATCTACCACCGGATCGGAAACGTGACCCACTGAGAAGATCCTGCGAGAAGCTCAGTGGGCAGGATGCTTAGGAGCACCCCGCTCTTTTATCGAGAGCCCACGATTCATGTCTCCTACTGTAACAAGTGTTGTTTTTTATGACTGGTTCCATAATTATTTTGTTCCTGAAGCTGAAACTCACTTGAAAAAAACCTTTAAACTTAGACTTTAAGACTTTTCTAGTTTAGGACAATGCTCCTAGTCACTCTCGTGTGCTCGGATCTGTGTATGTATCCCCCAACACGACAGCTTTACTCCAACCCATGGACCAAGGAACGATACAAGCCTTTAAGCTTGATTACACTAGATGAACATTCAAAACGATACACCTTGGAATGCTATCCTGATATGAATATTACACGATGCTCGAAAAAACAAATCAAAATGCATTGTTAATATCAGGAAATTGTTAGATGAACTGAAGCCAGACGCCTTTAAGTCACACTGGAAAAAAATCTGGCGTGTTTTGATAGTCGGAAATGATGGACAATTCGCGCGAAATCAAACTTCAACTGACAACATTGTTCAAGCTGCAAATCAATGGAATATGACCAGATGGATTCGAGCAGATAGAACTAGTGACATCCGGGAGGTTGCTGGTTCACAGGATCACTTAACTGAAACTGACCTGGAGGAAATGCTGACTACACGTTCCTGTGTCACGGCTTACGTAAGGAAAATGAACCTTGCGACCTCTTCATGAAAATTGATCCATCTATGGAAAAGGTCTTATTTTTAAAAGGCAGATTATTATTGCTACAACTCAATATCAATCTAAATTTAAATACATACCTACCTTTCTGTATTCGTATTTGTGTATTTCCGGAGCATACCTTTAACTGTAGTGGATATTCGACGCGGGATCGGAACATGTCTGGTATGTGGCAGCGGCTGAGGAGCGGCGGGAGGTGCGGCAGTTCGCGCACTACGTGGGGACGCGGCCGTTCCGTCTCCGCGCCTGCCACGTCCTCGCGCTGGACTCCTCGCTGCCGATCACCGTCGTCAGCGTCTGCGTCACCTACCTCATAGTTATCGTGCAATTCACTCACCTCTACTGACTTGTAATCAAGAACTGTTCAAACATCATAATTATAACATGATACAATTTTCTTGGCAAGTTACGGTTTTTTTGAAATAATCTAAAGATCGCTACATATGTATAAATACAATAAGCTCGCGTTGTAGTTGTTAAGCTCTACGACAGGCGCGTAGTTTCTCCGGTTTTACCGAGAGTGTGTCCACTCACACAAATGAACTATGCACCTACTTGTAAGGTTTGATCACACGCTTATTATTTTCACTTTATAATCTCTGACATGTCGAATGCTTTAAGGTTTTGTTAGCCACTGACAACGAAGATCATATTCGTTTAAATTTTTATATTCTGTCGGCAATTACCGCAGTTTTGTTAATTTTGTTTATTTATGAGAGCTACTGCCATTTAGCTTTCTTTCTACACCGATAGAATTGACAGTATCTTGAGTTTTTTAGGGATTATTTGGATTTTAATCAAATCCTATAAACAGTTTAGTTAGTGGTTAGTACCACTAGACTAGAGCGCGTTCACAAACTGCAGACTTGTGCAGACCCCATGTGCTCCTTGGCTCTAACCCAAATGTATCTCTTAGTGTGTCCTGTGTGTGAGAGCCTACAGCCACAGCACAGCTCGTAGCCGCACGCCTCAATATTGTTACGCTGGTAAGAGTAACGCCATCTATCGCCGAATAGTCGAACGAATATCGATCTTGTAGCGCCTAGAACACTCGAGAAGTACAACGACATCTATTGACAGATAGCGGAAACACACAATATTTGACTTGTGTGGAATATTCTCGATAATTCTAGAGATGTGGTATCGGCTATAAAAGCGCTGCAGGGATGGCACGCAGTCAGTCCGTAATCGGAACTACTCGAAGCGAAACAGCGAACGGATCACCTGAAGCGAAGCGAAACAAGCGAATTGAGAGTTTTAAAGTGTTTGTTGAGTGTTTTAAGTGTTGAATACAGTTTTAAGTGGTACTTTGGTGAAATTTCATTTATCCCGAGCCCCAGCGCGTAAGAATATGTTGACAGTTTAATGTGGACTTGCCCCTTGGCGTATGACATGATCAGTTAAAAGCCTGTATAAAAGCCAAAGGTGGCAAATTCGAATAGAATATTTTATTAGTTTTTGCAGAGGCTTTCATAAATATTTTTACGCGCTGGGGTTCGGAATAAATAAAATGTTCCAACAAAGTACAACTAAAAACTATATTCAACACTTAAAACACTCAACAAACACTTTAAAACTCTCAATACGCTTCTTCTGATTCGCTTCAGGTGATCCGTTCGCTGTTTCGCTTTGAGTAGTTTCGATTACTGACTGACTGCGTGCCATCCCTACAACGGTTTTATAGTCGATACATCATCCCTAGAATTATCGAGAATATTCCATACATCTCTAGAAGTAGTTTCCGCTATCAATAGATGGCGTTGTACTTCTCGAGCGTTCTAGGTGCTTCTAGGTCCTTCGATATTCGTTCGACTAGTCGACGATAGATAGCGTTACTCTTACTGACGTAACAATATGTAGGCATAAATTTTAATAATATTACATTATTTCATTTAAAAAAAACGCATTTTCATTTGTAACAGAACTTATGGCTGGACTAGGGACATCATCTTGATTTCTTATTATTTTAACACAAAGTATCATAATGTGATGATATGTGGCCAGTTTTTTTTTTTCCACGATTCATATTACGGCAGCCTACGTGAAACAGTCAAGGGTCGGTTGGTAGACCAACAGCTTGTTCGTTATTATTGTACTTGAACTCTTTACTCCGGAACTATTTACTTGGGAACATTATTTTGTCTCCGAATGGATTATCTAATAGAGTACTATGTGCAGTTTTCGACTTAAAATACCCTTTGTAGGACACACCTGTATACATAAATACACACTTTTATATCTTATTCCCACGGAAAACTACACTAACACGCTACCTTGCCCCGCGAGCGAAGCCGCGGTTAACAGCTAGTATTTTACACAGGAAAAAATGAATGTACGAAACATTATTAACAAATTTTACATTTACTATGTACTAACCCTAAAGTACGCGTCGCAATAAGTCAATATTATGTTTAATGCAAGTAAACATGAAGATGTCGATCTATAATTTGTCAGTGTCACATCAAGGCAAACGGTAGTCGTGTGCTAGTCAATCGATGTAACACTAATTAAAGTATTCAACTCACACGGTAGTTACTCATCGAGTATGGCTCAGTTCCAAATACCAAGTATGGCAGGCAGCGGACTGAATGTGGCCCCGTTCTCACGAGGGAGACGGCACGAAGGCCCGAAACACTCGAACTTCACCAAGAAGTACTTTTTGTTAGTTCACTTGGTGACTTGTCTGGACTTCGGCTTTCATCGGGATAATGATACAAAGACTTATAAATGGTTCCACGCCGCAAACATCGGGGTGCGTCTGGTGCTCTCGGCGTACGTCTGCAGCGTGTCCTTGAGTCAGGACCTCAGCTTCGCGAGTGCCGCCTGGACGATCCTCAACAACAGCAAACATTTACTAGTGGTTGCGATTTTCACTATTTTCAAACCGAAATCATCATGCGCGGAAATATTGAAGGATCTTCTGATGATCGACGAGGCTCTGAAGATTCACCGAGGCTGCGACGTCAAGGGACAGATCACGGTCTGCATCGTGTTGGTGACGGCCGCCCGCCTCCTCATCGCTGCTGCGTCCAGCCTCTCGCTCCACGAGGCGTTCTCAGCATCAGTCGGCGCCGCCGAAGTTCTTTATAGCTTTCAGAGCTACTGCCTAGATTTTTACATTTTAGCTAATTTTTTTATATTCTATTCAGTTTATTGTCGCCTCAAAAACTTGCGGAGGGTTCTCCAGAATAACTTTAACATATATCGAGGCAACATGATCTACAAGGTGCTGGTCGAACACATGGACGACATCAAGAAATTTTTAGATATTCCGGTTTGTACTCGTATGGGAACAAAACCACGTGTGTGTCGCAGGACACTACATGCTCCTTGTACTATGAAATAAGCACACAATATGAATTGTAGAGTATTAATGTTGCGACTGGTTTTATTTCAGTTCGTCACGAGTCTCCTGGTGACCGTGATAATGGCCATGATCAACGTGCTGAAAACTCTGCAGCTGATTCATGACGGAGAAGTATGTATCTTTGGTAAAGTTCGCCAATACAACCAATCTAGTGTTGACGCCTAGCAGCGGGCGGCCCACTTTATGCTGAGCGGGTACTGTCGCTCTTGGCCACCGCCAGCTGAGGGTACACCTAGATAGCCATTGAAATTAATTCAAAGATAGACAAGTCGTAGCACTCATGGTGTACGATTACGGGGAGTTCTTTCTAAAGCTTGAAAATATGAGGGGGAATTACTTCTGGAAAAGCACTTTGCAAGTCTTTGGTCTAGCGTCAAGTACTCAACTAATAACACCCAAACCGGACCATTCTCGATACATAAATTCCAAGAATCCCCGGAGCTGGTTGCTTAAGAGCGTCTTGAAAGTGGGGCTTCACGATGAGGTTTTTCCTTGAAGTCGTCGTCTTCGGGTCAAATTGAGCTCGGCTCACTTAATTTATTTTCGTGCATAGCTACAGATAGTTCTACATTTGAAGACATTAGTTTTCCTTAACCTTACTCCGAGGAACACTCGGCTGAGAGCAAACAGCTTCCCCCGAAAGCCCGAAATGCATGTTCGGTCGTGAGCGGAACATGCTCGTGAATGGAAGTTGAGATGGGAAGCGTGGATCCTCTATACGACCTTTCATCAGATGACTAATGGCCATTGCCTTTTTTCTCGTCACTACATAATCCCGGTGTACGAAGCCCACGTGTCCTGGTGAAACTGGAAAATCTTATGGATCACCAGTAATCCATCCGTCATAAAAAAAAGTATGAAGAATATAAACTTCAACTGATGATGATTGGCTCAATTGAAGCAGACGACCTGCTTGCTCTGCGTGACACGAGACAGAACGGACCATCCTAAATAAACGGTGAAATTTTGGTAATAGAGAGGAACTAGGCGAACGAAAAGTATTTAATGTGTTTGAAAGAAATAGATCTTTCTTTATCACTGAAGTTGTCGTGTTGCAATACTGGCCATTTCAAACGTAGTTTATGTATGGCTGCCAATATATTCTAAATTCAAATAAATCTGATCTTAAAAGTATAGAAGTGCATTTTGAAGTTTAGCCATTTGTTTAGTGATTAGTGTTACATTTGTATCATTTTCATCAGTATGGACACGATCAGTGGCGTACCTAGAACTTTTGCCGCCCGGGGCGATCTCCAGTCTGCCGCTCTTTCTATTATAAGTCAATCAAATAGTGGTTTTTATAAATACACATAAATAAATTATTAAGTTATTTAATCAATATTAATTAATACACAGAGTAAATTTTTTAGACTTATTTGTATGCACTCGTAAACATATTTACATAATATCTACTCTTCTAGCTTTCATACTAGAAAAATCGTGTATAATGCCAAGTCCATGTCAACTGCTAGTTAACACGGGCATATGAGCGGTGCAATTTATCAATCCTAATACAATTCTTCAAAACGGACTGAGAATATTTATCTACAATTTCAGAACTCGCAAATGAGTTCTGAAATTATAACTTCGTCAGTATTTTTGTTTTGNCAAATACAATTCTTCAAAACGGACTGAGAATATTTATCTATTTGCGAGTTCTGAAATTGTAACTTCGTCAGTATTTTTGTTTTGTCTCGTTTAGATTTTGTTGTTTGAAAAAGATAGTTCTTATGCCGGCGCCCTAATGCTTTGCAGACCTAGCAGACCGCCTTCCGCCGGCCCTGCTTTTCAAAAGAAAAATCGATGAATAAAAAAATATTGATATATTACTTCAAAGTAATCATATAAACTTTTCAAAAGAAATGACATTTATAAACTGATATTAAAAAAATTTTGTTAGGAAAAATTGCCGAACAAAATCCAAAAGATACTTTTACGAATTCAAAGAATTTTAATGAATACAATAAAATCAAATTATT